CTACTAGATATTACATTAATAAAATACAGTACAAAACTTCAGAAAGGGCCTAGCTGGATAAGAGGATTAAAAGTGTCCTTGAGTTGAATGAAGCGCCGCTTGTGCCATTCGATAGCTTATCAAAAAAGAAACATCCACTCCAATTTTGATTAAATACTGAACTCTGCTCAATAAACAGTAAATGTGAGAACAAACATATACAGTGTGTAATACTACTAGTAAGCAATATTTGAGGATCATATTCTAGGAGCCAAACTAGACGAAAATAAAGAGTGACAAAATTATGGTTCGAGCTTTGTTAATTAGTTATTGATAAATAAAAATTTGGCGTTTTTGCGCCCGAATCAGGCAATTCGACTTGCATCGTCATATGACTGACAGCTGATCGCCCTTGATCGATACACGCCGATACGTTGAAGCAAGTTCATAGCTATAAGAAAATAATGTACTCACCCTGTGTGCTTCGAGGCAGAAAATATGTAAGAAATGTAGCCTGGCGTATAACCTGATTACTCGGTATATCCACAAGACCATATCGAAATTCGCTCTATGGGATTTTCAAGTTAAGAGGGCATACACCTTTTCGAAATTTCACTGTCATTACAGTGCATAAAAGTGCATTCCAGATTTTTATGTAAAAGAATTATTTTTAACACTTTTATTTTTCACGGTTACATTTGGCAAGGGAAAAATTTGAAAAAATTCTCAGACATGTCCAGCTACACTACGATCATGTTAGAATTCTCTCAGATTTTTCACAAGGCGTTAAACAAGGAAAAACTTGAAAAAATTGATGTTTCGAATTTTCCCGATTACTACCCCCCTGGTTGAGATATAGGGCTAAAAATTGGAATGAATGTACCTTTCTTGATAAGCTATCGAATAGCGCAAACACTTGCAAGGACACTTTTGACCTTCTTATCCGGCTAGGCCCTTTTGCAAACCTATTAAAAATGTTATTACATCTTGAATTCTTATTCTTCGAATGACAGAATTTTGATTTCATTTATGAAAAGATATAAATGGAACAATGACAAAATTTTGTAATTTTGTAATATATCATAATTAAGAGATTGTTTTTTCTAGGTAATGTGAGTAGAGGGTGGACCAACGTCGCACGCAACACCGGGAAGCGGTGCGAACACGTTGCTACCGGTTTCTTCCGCATCGGGTACCGTTTGGCCATCTGCTACTGGATGGCTATACATGCCTCCTCCACCGCCACCGCCACCGCCTCCACCACCACCTCCGCCGCCCCCGCCGCCATCGTCGGCGCCGTCGACCCACTTACATGCCCACTGCATCGCTCAAACTTGCACCATATGTTCTCTCAATCTCTGAAACTGTAAGTAAGGTAAAGTGTCGAGTTATATGATATATAATTCAGTTACGTCACGCTCAGATATATCATTTCTTTAACGATGGGCGAATGTTCCTAACGAAGAAACTTGCTGCTTTAGCTTTCGCGAGGAATTAGCGGAATTAAGATTAATTTAGATTGTTCGAAACGGGAGAAATGCTCTGTTCGAACTGAAACAGTGCTGTTCTTGTTTACTTGTACATTTGAGTTTCTTAATTGAATCGTTTTAAAAATACATGTGAGCCTTAGACGCTCAATGAAAAGTATATTTATAGCAATAAATTATGGTTTCGTATTTCGTTCGTGATCCTTTCTCAAAATTATCGATGATAGACTGCGGATCGTATAAATAAAACTGAATGTGCAAAAAATATAAACATGCAATGTATAAAAGTGTAGAAAATATAAAAAACAAAGTGCGTATTGCAATACTTAAATGATAGGAGAAACACTTCTTGTTCAATTTCTACCATAAATAGTTTATTTTGTATGAAAATCCGCAGTCTAGTAATAAAATTGTAGCGATTACCGAGACGTGTAAAGACAGACGCGTGACTCGGACATTTATCAACAAAATTTTTAACTAATTTTCCGATTAGAATCGTCGTCGCGAATGATAAATGTAAGAAAAGATTACACGTACGTAAGCTGTTCACATTTTTATATTAACACCCGTTTTGTTGATATATTAAAAAAAACATTCCGTACATTTTTATCGCTAGCGTTTGTACTGTCTAAATTTCCTTATCATCAGTTAATTATTTTATCGCATGGGTACGTTAAGGATTCCTCGACTTCGGATGTTCATGTTCGAGAAAATGTGAGAAACATGTGACACTTGTGCACGAAAAAAT